TTTAAATTGCTATAGCATTTGAATTGTCTATAACAGAATTTGTCTATGTTAACTCATTACAATTCTGAAAAAAATCACCCCTGACCACTAACAAAGGGGGTAGTGTATCTTGAGAACTCTGTGTATGACTAACTGACATATACAATAAATACAAATGTTACTACAGCAACAGATTGAAATTATATAGTTCATTTAAACCTTTTTCCAACTTCAGCTTAGTCCCCGCTAAAGCACACAGGAAATAAACATATTGAGCTGTCTGGCACCAGGCAACTATCCAGGTCCTGTTCTGTCTAGCACTGTGCTAGGCTTATCCATCTAATCAACATTAAAAGGTTTATTTATGTGAGACAGCTATATTAGTAATAAATGAATTTATTCAGTAGCTTGGTGGATTTATACATGTACAAAATCATTTTCATTTAAGGAGACTTAAAACTGAGTGACTCCACTACTTTTATGGACTGTATCCTGAAGCCCTTAGCACATTCGAGTCTCCTCTTCACAAGAAAAAAAAATACAACCCAAACCACACAACCCTCCCCCCACGAAAATAAACAAACAAACAAAAAGAAAAACCAAAACACATCACCAAAACAAAACACTAATTGAAATCAATGGAATGTTTACTGGAGCAAACACTGCAAAAGACTTAAGAACTGGTGAAATGCAACTGAACATGAAGCTAAGTGGTATTTCAAAGGGTTGTGGTATATTTATATACATTGTATGCAATATTCCATGTATAAAGGTCTGTTTCAATTTTTACAGCCCAAGATAGTCTGTAGAAGAGAAACAGCTGACAGAATTCAAAAGGGATATCTGGGTTTTCTTCATCACACCTATTTGCACTTTAGACAGACTTTGTTTTAAGGCATTAATTTGACATGCGAGTCAGGTCTGTGCTACGTTGAAGACTGTTTTCACTGATTCCTCTGTTGTTTTTTAGAAAACAAGACAGAGAATTCTCTTAGTGCTAAGGTTTATCCATTTCAATCAGACAGTGAGTGGCACATTCTCACCTCATTCGCAGTTTTTAATTCCAATTGCTTTTGAAACGTCCCTTCTCCTTCCCCCCTTTATGCTGCCACTTGAAAGTTGAAATGCAGCAAGAATGTAAAGTTAGGTGCCAGTTTTCTGAATTACAGGGTGACTGCTTTAGCTGATCCCAAAAAGCAAGTGTCTTTTTATACCGCATAAAAGCCTGAAATGTTTACATATCAAAAGGCTATAGGCCAATTTCTGTCAAAATTATACATGAAGTTAAGCAGTACAAGCAATTTATTTAAACACTAGTCATTGTAGAAAAATTCAAAACCATATGCTCTTTTAGCAGTTTTTCACAAATGCATTTGACCCATGACTTGGCAAGACATGCGTGCTTCATAATTTACTCTAAATTTCAAATCCCCTTGACATTTAAATAAAAGATCTTCATTAATAAAGTTTATATGAATGAAAACTTTAGAAGCTGATATTGTTAGCGGGAAGTTTTCAGAAAAAACCCAACCGCGTTTCTGCCTCGTTTTCAAATGACTGACTCTCCTAATCAGTTCAAGATAGGTTTATTCTGGGAACAAATTACCGTAATTTCGCATTGTGTGACTTTTATACTTTTTTTTTCCTGGTGAAGCAATGATGCAATCAATTTGAAACAAACGTGGGGAACGCTGCAGGGTGATGGCATTTGTAAGTTAGAGATGTGCCGCGAAGCGCCGTTTCAGAGAGAGTTCCGCCGCCGGTCGTGCCCCGATGCCCCGGTTCAGCCCTGGTTCCCCGCTCGCCCCGCCTGGGGCGGGAGCCGCAGCCGAACCTGCTGCCCGAGGCGAGCCCCGACCGGGCTGGGCCCCTCCGGCCGCCAGGCTGGTCAAAGACTCCGCCGGGAAAGGCGGTGGGTGCGTTTTGCATCCCCGGAATTATTCTTTAATATATTAAAATAAAAGAAAGAGTCCGATTTCTCAACAAGCGCACTTCCACAGACTTGTGTATGGTGATTGCTTTGCATGAAATCGTGTTTGGGTAATAATATTGAAAATCAGCGCCGTGTTTACCGTATTTCATACCTAACAGCTTGCTCTGCCCAGCGCTATGCTCCTCTTTAGATCCCTCTTTCAACCCATGCTGTGACCACCCTCCCGTAACAAACAATTGCTTAGCAACACTATGCAGCACAATTTGCTTGTGTTTCATTTGTTATTACAATTTCACCCCGACATTGTGTGACAACTGATTGTTTGTTTAACACAATTTTCCGTTTGCGAGGTTAGCGAAGAGCGCGTGGGAAATGAGAAACTCCGAGAGCAGGTTTTGCAAAGCGGTTATCAAAACCGTGGGTTTCACGGCAAAACGACTCAGATTAAAACAAAACAAAATAAAAGAAACCTTCTCCACTGGGGGGACAAGTTATTTGGAAAATATCGTTTCTAAATTAGAAATAAAGGTAAGCGTTGTAGCATGGTGGATCATCCGTCAGGGGAGCAAAAAACTCTTTAGGAAGCCCAGCGCCCGCACGGCCCGAGCGGTGCGTGCTCCGCCAGCGCCGCGGCCCCTTCGGTGCCCACCCATGTCCAGCGGGGCTGCTTCCACCTGGGAGAAGCCGGACAGGCGCCGAGGTGAAGCCTTGACGCAAGTGATGCTAAACACCCGGGAAGTCGGCCCCGGCCGGGTGTCCCTAGCGAGGGTGTCCCCGCAGGAGCGGGATCCGCGGGCTCACTCGGTTCGTTCCCCGAGGGGCAGCGGTCCCGGGAAAGCGCTGTGCCCGCCGTCCAGAGCCCCCGGGGCACCCGGGATGTCCCCTCCGGGCCGGAGCCAGAGCGGACAGTGTCCCGGCTGCCGGCCTCCGCCCAGGCCTGGCTCTCCCGGGGACCCCGAGCCCGGCCCGCCCGGAGCCCCGCTCCCCGCCGGGGGTGCGCAGGCCGCCGGAGGGATGCTGCCGCGCATTGCTGCGGAGCTACTGAGGACGTGAACGAGCATCCCGATGGAGGCATTAAGCGGGCGCTGCTCTGCATGCAACGTGACCGGCTGCACTCAGGGAATTACTGACCAAAAAGCCCCAACAAACCGAAACTCCTTCTCCAAGCCCACCCGCAAACAAACAAACAAAAAATAAAGAAAACTCTCATCAACAGAAAAAAAAAATTCCAAAGTCTAACAAAAAACCCGCCCAACCCTCTGTCAAACAGTTTCACTTTCCATCAAATTTGAAAAACTTGCTCGAAGTTCAGATCTAAATGCCAAAGGCATAAAGAAATGGTTAGGCAGATAAACTGAAGTAAAAACCGATGCTGCTAATTAACCACATAGCGATGTATCAATAAAGAGAGAATTTAGTTTTGGCATTCTCTTTCTTTTTAAAGTTTATACAAGTCTTTAGCTATAAATAGGTTTCAGATCATTCTCAGGTGCGGTTTTAAATCCCGGAATATCGAGGAAGGGAAGGATAAAGATAAAGTGCGAGTAAGCGCTAACGAGGATATTCTTTGTTGAGGAAAAATAATGTGTTCCTCGTAAACGGACTCTAATGGCTTGTTTTCATTTCATGCGTACAATTTCCTACCTTCTTTGATGGAGAGTTGATGGGGTAAATAGTCTAATCTTATTCAGTTCACCTCCTGTGGATTCCCAGGGACAGTCGTGACAGACGAAGTATTCTGCAAATCACAAGAGCTAGCTACCAGGAGAGCCAAACCTCTTAATAGGAAGAGTTTTAGGGGTTTAAATTTTCTCAATTTAAAAATTCACGAAACATGCAAAATATAAAGTCCTCTGTGTCGTTGCAACTTTATGGACTTTGTTTTCTAAGATACATAATTAAAGATTAAAAAGAAAAGAAATAGGCACCAAGATAGATCAGAAGCAAATCGGAATACCTACCACACCCGGGGATTTGAGATGGCACTGGTCTTTAACATTTGCATCTCTTGGCTTGTTTTAAAAATAAAAAGCGATAGCTGTCTGAATCTGTTAAAAAGGGGGATAAAATAAAATAAAAAGGAGAGAGAGAAGTTTACAACATTCACGCGTCCTTGTTCCGCCAGGTGACCTGGGAAAATAAAAATAAAAAAAGTTCAGTTACTCAGTGAAGACGTTGTTGCTTCACTATATAAATTTTAAATCAGAAAAACACATACTCCTCAATGCTCTTTCAGTCCTCCGAGCCGGGGACGCAAGATTCAAATCCTGCTACAGAAACACTTGGAGTGGGGGGGCGTTGCATGATTATGTGGCAGTTTATTTTTTTTTTAAAGTGCTTCTTAACCAGTTCGAAGCATAAATAATGAATCTGAGCTTTAGACAGAGGAAATCGCACCCACTAATGTGAAGTAACACAACCAAAGTAGGCGCATAATAGACAAGACTAGGAGCTGCTAACTACTTCTACACAATGGCATTAATAAGATTAACCTGGGCAATTAGCCGGTGCAGCAGAGATCAAGCCTAAATCTGGGGCCTTTCTAAAAAGCCCACTAATGGAAAGGATTACGTTAATTTCATTAATTCTCAATACACAGACTCGGGCTGCTTTCACTCCTTTGTGTAACCCCCACCTCTTCCCCACCAAAAAAGGGGAGAAAAAAAAAATCAAATCTGGTTTTGTTTGTCATCTGCATATTACCAGGAACTAAATCCAGGATGACGTCGCCTGGGTATAAAAAAGGGAAGAGGTTCAGATGGATTATACTCCGAGCAGCCCTCTGGGTTGAGATCAGTAAACAGGCGAGAGTTGAGGGGGGAAAGTTCCAGGGGTGGATCCTGCGCACACGCACACACACCGCACACGCGCGCACAGACACACACGCACACTCTGCCCGCAAGCTGCCCTCGGAAAAGGCTCTATTCTTTTCGCTCCGATCTCTTTTTAAAATTTATCCGAAAAGTTTCGATTTCGTGTCCTTCCAGCCTCTCCCCCCCCCTCCCCAGCCACCACCTACCCTCCCTCCCGCCCTCCTCCCTCCCTCCCCCGGCCGGTCCCCGCCGCCCTGCCCCGCACGGTTTGGGGCATGCCTGTGAGCATGTTCAGCATCGACAATATCCTGGCGGCCAGACCTCGCTGCAAGGACTCGGTGCTGCTGCCCCCGAGCGCCGCGCCCGTCGTCTTCCCCAGCCTCCACGGGGACTCGCTCTACGGCAGCGCCTCCGACTACGGCGGATTTTACTCCCGGGCGGTGGCTCCCGCCTCCGCGCTGCCGCCGGCCGTCACTGGATCTCGGCTCGGCTACAACAACTACTACTACGGGCAGCTGCATGTGCCGGCGTCCCCCGTGGGCCCTTCGTGTTGCGGGGCCGTGCCGCCCCTGGGCGCCCAGCAGTGTTCCTGCGTTCCCCCCGCAGGTAAGGCGGCCCCGCGTGGGACGGGCCGGACGGGCCCCCTTTGTTCCCGCAGCCGCGGGGCCGGAGCGGTGGCGGGGAGCCGGCGGCCCGCAGGAGCGCGGGTGGGCGGCGGGAGGGGGATTTTTCGGGACGGGATGGGACGGGGGTGGGGGGAACAGCGATCTCATGCAAAGCCTATCGTCGACTCGTCTGTCTGTCCGTAGGTTACGAGGGCAGTGGGTCAGTCCTGATGTCCCCTGTTCCCCATCAGATGTTGCCCTACATGAACGTGGGCACTTTGTCCCGGACGGAGCTGCAGTTACTGAACCAGCTGCACTGCAGGCGAAAAAGACGGCACCGGACTATTTTCACTGACGAGCAGCTGGAAGCGCTGGAAAACCTCTTCCAGGAAACGAAATACCCAGACGTGGGCACCAGGGAACAGCTGGCCAGAAGGGTGCACTTAAGAGAGGAAAAAGTGGAGGTACTTTGCTTTCTTTTTCCTTCTTCAGCCCTCTCCCATTCGCACTGAAACGCGCTCGAACCGGATGTACCGCGGTGCTGCTCCAGCCCAGCTCTGTCAGCGGAGGGAGAGCGACTGCTTTGCGGGGGCAGAGGGAAAGTTTTGTATTATTTCCAAGTGCCCTTCTTTGGGGCGGCCGGCCGAGTTTGTCACAGGGCTGTGAGCGATTGTCGGCTGTGCCTCCCGAAGGCTCCGGGCCGGTCCCACCCGGGCTGCTGAAGGCTCCCCCGCCTCCCTCCTCCGGCCGAGCGCGGCCGCCGCACACCGGCCCGGCACGGGGCTCCTGCGGGGCTGAGGTCAACTGCGGCTTTGCATAGTTTTGTTTTTATTTTTTCCCCTCTAATAATTTAATTTCTTAACGTAACAGGTTTGGTTCAAAAACCGCCGGGCGAAGTGGAGGAGGCAAAAGCGATCGTCTTCGGAGGAATCAGAAAACGCACAAAAGTGGAATAAAGCGTCTAAAACGTCGCCGGAGAAGAGACAAGAGGACGGGAAAAGTGACTTGGACTCTGACAGCTGATACTTCTAAGTGGGGGGGACATTTTCCGTGGACTGTCGAATACGCTCCAGAGGATGCTACTAATCTTGCACAAGATCTGCCTTGTTGGAGGGGGAAAATATCTGTATATAATGTACAATGCCCCGAGCTGATTCCGTGTAAATAAAATGTGTTGCGGAGGTGTTGCACAGGTAGACGGCGGCGCGTTTTTTCACCGTGCGCCGCGGGGAGAGGGAGAAGGAGAGGGAGAGGAGAGGGACAAGAGAGCAGAGAGCGCTGGTGCGCAGCTCCCCGGGGAGCAGGGCCGGCCTCGCCGGGGCAGCTCCTTGTTCAGCGGGGCCGTATCACGGTGTGAGAGGCGGCGAGGGCAGCGCTGTCCCCGCTCGCCACAGGCCGGCATCGATGGTGGATCTCGCACCCGGAGGGAAGCGGGGACACCCCGGTACGAGCCCGAGGCGGCCGGGAGCGAGCCCCGCCGCTCCTGCCGGGTTTCCCGCCGTGTCCGGCCCCGTTCTCCCGGCCATGCCCCGAGCGCTTCTCCCGTCCGGGAGCGCTGCGGCTCCCCCCGCCCGCGGCTGCCCCCTGACTAGGATGCCCTTGGGAAACTCCAGCAGGCGAGGAAAACCCGCCCCACGCTTGGTACTCTGCCCCGTCTCCCTGCGCTTTCCCGTCTCCCTGCGGTTGTGCCTTGTTGAGTTTCCAAAACGTTTGTCTTTGACCCTCGTTTAGAAAAGCCATCTTTCTTCCGCGGTGTTTAAAGTTGTTGTTAATAAATTTTAGACATTATCAGATGAATTACACATAAGGGGAGTATGAGCACTTGTGTGCTGCTTTTTTCGCGTGTTTCAGAAGAAGTTGCTAATGGAAGTTTTCTCCCCTTTGAGGCAGCACCTTTGCAATTACGAAAGCAGTGACAGCCTGGTCTCGTTTTACTCTTCCCTCTGCGAGGGCCTCGTAGTAGAGACGTCTATTCCCCCTTTAAAAATCACGTTCGTTTTCCTTTTGCTTTTTTCCCTGTGACTCTCCCGCTCAGAGCTAATCATTTCAGAGAGGAACCACAGCGGTTTCCCCATGGTGGTGTGTTTAGGAAGACCCTTCTGTCTCCTTGCCTGAAAGACTGTTCATAAAGTTAAAACAAACAACCTGAAAGTGTAAAGCCAGTTCAGATGATCTCTGGCCCGAAGACTTCATGCTGTGCCTTCCATTCAAAGTCAAGCGGTAGTGAGCCGATTTTTCTTAATTGTTGCCAATGCCTAAGCTCACCTGTATCTATTAATCTCGCCTAGTTTAGGCAAACTGTTTTTTCAAATATACTTACCGTTCTTTCCAGTGGCACGAGAAAGGGTCAACTGCTGCGTTGCTTGCCCTTATGCTTTTTCCTATTTTTTGTGATATATCCAACTTTTTATGGGTGTTGTAACATGGTACCTACTGCAGGTGTTAGCGTGATAGAGCCAGTCTTAGTACCTGTCTGCTCAGATAACTTTTGAATGTCAATGTTTCCACATAGATGCGGTATCTCTTTCTGAGCAATCTCTCACCACATGAAGACGTAGGAACAGCTGCCGTGGAAGCAATTCAGTGTGGTTTTGCGTGAGCCAGTCCTTTAGGGGGCTAAGGGTTTCACTGCTCTCTTGAAGAGAATAAATTTAGCCTCTTGTTTCTCAATGCAGCGGAGGAAGGGTAAAAGCAAATGGATTCTTCTTCTTCTTGGATACATGCAATGGTTTGGTTATATGGACCTATTGCATTATGGAGATTCTATTCCTACGAATGCATATTTGACCTCTGTAAACTATATTGAATCACAACACAACAGCACTAAACATTAGTTTTCAAATTGCTGAAAAATAGATTTGAAGTGTTTTGTTATGCCATACGGAGGAAGTCTCACTGAGTGGATTTTTAATGTCATCACCTCTGTATTTAATCATTGTTAGGTTTTAAAGTGCATACTTAATTTGCAAATAAAAGCCAGGTCTAAGGATACTATTGCCCAAGACTTTACAAATGCATATATATTTGTATTACTTCCATGTGTAAATATCTCTACTGCCACAATAGGAGCTTGGTAAGGTTTTGTTTTGTTTTGCATTTTTTTTGTGGGGTGGTAATTTTGGAAGTCACTATTAAAGATTTTAGCTTGCATAGTTGAATGTGGGAGTTAAAATGCATCTGGTTTTGTAAGAAGTGAGATTTAAAAGTATTTTTTGATTACCAATAGGAATTAAAGTTGCAGTACATATCTTTAAAGAAACTTAGACTTTTCCAATGGGAGCAATGGTTCCAATTGAGAACCACGGAAGCTCCAGGTCCCCAAACATTCCAGTTTACGGATTTATTGAGAACTGCTTCTGGTTCTGTGGAAGCATGGGATGTGATGTAAGACTCAAAACTTTGTATTCCAAAACACAGTTTTTATCCATGGAATTATGATGAAATCACCTCTGATTTCTTTAAAATAACATAGTACCTTTGTCTGTGTTAATTTTTGAGTTTTCTATAAACTTTTTATTACTATAAGCTTGATCTTGCAGTCACAGGAATCTACTGTTATTACTATGTGTAGGTGTAGATCTACTGACATAAATAATATGACTTTAAAATCTAATTGAAAAGCAATTTTAATCTTGACCTAAAAACTTAACCTTACTTACTAAAAATGGCATTTGTGCCATTAATAGTAGTAGCTGTCTCATTCTTTTTCTCACTGGTGTTTGTTGAAAAGCAAAAGGTTTCATTCTATGTTTTTAGCCTACAAAATGAGATTCTGTGCAGTATAGAAGTCTGATAGTGAAAAAGTAGTGAGAAGATTGCATGAAAAAGATTAAGAAAGTTGAAAACTAAATTATTGAGAACATGGGGGGGGATTGTAATAAGAAGAGCTCTCATTCACTTGTGCTGTTTTGTCAGCATATTCCATTTCTAGATGTCTGTCTGGATTTTTATTTTAGGAGAATTCCTACATGCCAAAATACAAATGCCACGTAGCAGCTTTCATTATTTTCTCTTTCTGTTCATGCAGTAGGAACAAGTCAAGTAAGGAACCCGAATATGTGCCATGTTCCAGCAGGTTCAGTTCTAACAAAGGGGCTTTGAAAGAGCTGTTTGTGGTTCTGTTTGTTAGCACTTGTCTAAAAAGGAGACCAAAAGAGAATTAAAAAAAAAATTTGGTTGGTTTTGTCTGTATCTCCTCGACTGCAATTTACAACCTTGTATGTTGGGCAAATACATTGTCAGAAGATTGGATGGGACTGAAATATGTTGTATTGCTCATGGTACTGAGGAACTGTCTGGGCTTTACAACTCGAGTTCAGCTTCTTGCTGTCTTACTGATTCTCTATGAAATGTTGGACTTCTTTCCTTCTTTCTAAATTTCTGTCTGTAGAATGAATAATGTTCCTCTCAGATCTCACAAGGGAGTTAGGTTGAGTGCAGGATTATAAGAAGAAACGTAAGCTACTTTGGAGGTTCACCACTGTAGTGCAGACTTATTCCAGATAATGCTGAGCATTATAGGAATAATAACGAAATAATTATACAAAAGGAGCATACACCAAATAAATCTCCCTGACACCAAGCTGGCTTAGGTTACAAAATTCTATTGCAAGTGAAAGGTAGGGCAAGCAATGTCTACTAAGGGTCCAATGCAGAAGTTTTCTCCTGTATAGAGGCAGACTCAGTAATCTGATGTGCTACCTTCATTGTGCCATCTGCCTCCAGGTAGAAGAAATTTATATTTCCATTGATACTCTATTTACCATATTTATTTCTTTAGTTCTTGTTTTAATGAGTAATGCTGGAAAGCAGAGGTCAGATTTTTTTTTTTGCTCGATGTGAAGTGATTTATTATCAGCTGAGAATCTGGACTTTTTTTACCTTTCAGTTTTACTAATACTTGAGTGAACTGTTTTTGGGCTTTACTATAATGGGATCCTGGGAATATAAAGCATGAAAACTCTTTCTTACACATGACTTGTGAAGCAAACCTTTGGATTAATGGAAGTTATAAAAAAATGCAACATTAAGGTGAGTTCATATTTTTTGTGCTCCATCTGCATTTATTGGTTCTCTGGGATTAAACACCATGGAGCATAAAGGAACAAAAACTTAGAGAGTTTTTGTTTTGTATTTTAACCCCCTAGGGTTTTATTTAATTTATGCTTTATGCTTTCCTACTTCAGAGACCTGGTGAGCCTGGACTTAACCTAGACAAAGAAGTTTAGTCAAATTACCCTGTTTTTCTGGAGTTGCCACTTACCCTGATTTGATTGGAGTCCATTATACAAAGGTAAAAATTATAGCTGTAAGGTGTTGGATTGTAAGAAATTAATACAACTTTAAAGTGGCATATCTCTGTAAAGTATGTGACAGTTTTAAATACAGAAACCTGTATCTGGAGAATTCAAATTTAAAATAAAAAGAAGAATCATTCTTCTTACACTTTTGTATTCAGGAGAGAGCAGATGTCTACAGATAGGCTATATCCCTCAATACATAAGGCAAAACTTGAGGCACAACTAATAGAACAATAACAGAGCAAGAGAAAGGCCAGAAAACTTGTTAAAGCATAGAATTACCTAGTGGTGAATGTTAAAAGTTACTTCACCTTTGTCTTCTAAATGACCTCTGAATACTGGTGTTTGCATTGCTTTTTCTACCCCTTGCAGGCTTATCTTGGAGATTTGGAATTTATACCTTCAAACACATCAAACACATGTGCAAGCCAAGAAGTTATAATCATTCCTTTTGCATTATATCCAGGAAAAGAGATCTTTCCCCAAAAACTCCAGTCTTTCTCTCAAAACTCTAAGCATTGAAATCCCACCAGAGTTTAATTTGCTTGTTTATATAAGCATATTATTATCATCATCATCATCATTGCCTTTCTGAGGCAATGTTTGCTACCCAGTGACTACAGAGTACTTTCTTAACAGCATGTGTTGGGTTTTCACCTTCACTATACCATGGCAAAAGGGACAGTTGTGGTGAACTGTAGCCGCCTTACTCAAGATTCAATTGTCTTCTTCAACAGGCTGCCTGCAGAGCTTCTTCTACCCTTGCTGTCCAGGGTGGCTGCATCTGTGGACATGGCAGACTTAATATGTACTTTTCCTGGAAAAAAAAAAAAGCCCAAGTAATGGAGAGCCATATTCTGATGGTGTCAGCTCAGTGATTTGGTTTGTAAGGAAGC